CCTCCCCACAGCGAGGGGGTCAGGCTGCCATCCCTCCCGCTCTGGCCTGAAGGTTTGGGGAGGCAGGGACACATGGAAGAGGAACCCAGGGGTGACCCTCGGCCAGGCATCCAGCCCTCCTGGTGTGCCCTACCTTAGGTGCATCAGATAGCAGAGGACCCTGCGGGGTGGGCCGGTGCCCGGGCAGTTGCTGGGAGCCACGGTGGCCCCATCCTCCCTCCCCACTGGCATCAGGAAGATGCGATGGCGGAGGAAGGTCATGTGGTTGGCTGGCATGTCCTGGAAGTCGTAGGTCACCAAGAACATCTTCACCACAGTCTTGTTGGGGTTAAATAAGGTCTGGGGGCAGAAGGGTAGGGGGTGAGACTGGGAAGGGCACAGAAATGGATCTGTAGGGCAGGGCTGGGGCATCTAGAGACAGCACCAGTGGGCCCAAGGGTCCAGAAAGCCCCACATCAGCCCCAGAGGTCTTGGCCTGAGGCCACAGGTCAGACCTTTCCACCCACCTCCACTGCTGTGCTCCATCCCATCCCCATTGCACATACACGGTCTCCTGTGAGACTTCATCTCTGCCCACCAACCTCTTCTGTACATCTCCTGTCACCTTGTCTCCCTGCTAGCACCCTGGGGACCCCCTGCTCCCCTCCACTGTGCTGTCTTGGTGGCCGTGTACCACTCTGCACAAGCTTTCTGACTGCTGCCCTGCCAAACAATGTAATGGAACATATCCACCCTGGGGGGCAACTGGAGCCCACCCGGCCCCCTCCCCATGGCACTACTGGAGGCCAGGGAACAACTCACCACTTGGATGGTTCCAGCTTTGGGGACACTGTAACCCTTCTTTCCCAAGGCCTCCAAGTCAATCACTCCCTGGGGCAAAACAAACAGCATGTGAGAGAGGGAGAAAGCCCATGGAGAGCCCAGCTGGGAGCCGGCACGGGGCCGAGAGCCCCTCTTGCTCGGAGCACCTGGCACAAGGTGGCAGGAAGATCCTCAGCTCCATCCCTCTCCAGACTGGGGGGGATGAACAAGCAGCAACACAGAGGTGACAGCAAAGCAACAGCCACCAGACAGCTGGGCAGCATCCTGCCTGATTATACACCTGCAAATGTTCCTGCTTCTTTCCCTCTTGCTTTTTGGGTTAAATACAGGGCCCTGGTACAGCTAGTTGTCTACTCAAGTAGGTGGTTGCTTGAGCCATGCTCTCCAGAGAGGGCAGCCCCCAGGATGGTTATTGCCCGGGTACAGACCCTACTCACCTCCCCCACGGTCCCAGCCCTCCCTTGTCCACATACCAGGAAAGGTGAGGGCGCGCTATGTTCAGAGATGTCGAAATAGGTGACGTCAACGGGCAGGGTGGCGTGCTGGGGGCAGTAGGAGCCACTGGCACCAATCTCTGCTGTGAACCCTTCGATCCTCCCTGATGGTGCAAAGCGCCCTTTCAGGATGGACTCCTGAGAGAGGAGGGAAGTGTTAGGGACCTTCAAACACTGGTCCTGCCCCTTGCCTTGAAGCTGCAGGTGAGATCACCCCCATCTCCACTACCACCACATGTCTGCTTGCCCTGACGTTGTCTCCTGGCTTTCTAGAGGCCAGCCACGAGGAGCCTTGGCTGCTCACTCTGAGACAAACCCATCCTGAATTGGTGGGCTGAAACCAGCCATCTAACAGAGAGAAGCAGGAAAAGCGCCATGGCTCAGCCACTCAGCTCTGCAGCAGCCATCTCAGCAGGGTCCAGGGTCCTGGAGCATCACCCAAGGATCTGCTTGGCTGAGCCATCCTGCTTGTGGATGGTAGCTATGTGATGTGGCCACTGCACGCCAGGCCCTTTGCGACAATCAGTCCAGCTCAACGCTGGCGATCCCAACAAGTTCAGCCTCTCAGACCCGTCGCCAGCCCAGCCTGGAGCCCCCAGGACCCACCTCCCTCCCTGGCAGGTGGGTGCTGTTACCTCAAAGTTGCCCAGCAGGGCATGGCTGACAGTGGTGGTGGCCCAGGGTGCTGCAGAGGACTTGGTACCCCTCTGGACACTGCTCCGGAGATGTTGCCTTTGAAACAGAAGAGAAGATGGGTGTTGAACTAGAGGGTAAGCAGCCCTGGGCTGCCCTCTCCAGGTCCCCCTGTCCCTTTCTTTGGTGGTGGTTGAACCCACTTTCCTACCCCCCAGGGGCAGAAGAAACATCCTTCCACCCCACAGCCTGGGGTCTTGTGGAGGGGAGATGCCTGGGGCAGGGAAGAGGATTAGACCCAGCCTGACCATCTCATGGGGCAGTGTGGTGCTGGGGTGGCTAGGCACTCCAAGCCCCCATGTCCATCCCACAGGGCTGCCGGGACACTCACAATTTGAGGCGCAGCCTGCTCTTCAGTGTCCTCCCAATTGCAGTGCAATCTGCAGAGCTCTAGAGGAGACACGAAATCAAGAACCATGTTAGGGCAGCAACCAGGGACTGCGCACCCCTGGGAGATGCCATCACCCCTTGCCTTGCCCCACAAGGGTCCCAGCAGATCAGACAGGCTCCCATCCATGGGGAGCCATCAGTGGCCTCTGAAGGGCTGGCCGGCAGGGCAGCGCAAGGGCTGGGGTGTCTGGTGGGGACTTGGGGCTGCCCGAACCCCAAAGTGGCTCTGCTGGGGATTAAGGCGTTGGTACCCAAGCTGAGGGTGCAGCACACGACTCCCATCTTGCAAAGCAGGTCTCAGGTCCAGCCCAGTGGTAAGACACTCCCAGACAAAGTCATGCACCAACATCCCCTTGCACCTCCCAGGGAACAGTAACACCGATGATGAAGCTCCCCTACCAGCCCGGGAGAAGTCCTGTCCCCTGGTGACTCATACAAAGTCCTTGGTAGTGCTGCCGGGCAGAGGGGCGTGCTGCCCACCCCTGCCCACAGCCAGCCTCCTACAGCTGTAGGGTGGTGGGTTAAAGCCAGAGCCACACTGCAGCCTCCTTTTAAAGATGTCCCCTTTTCAGGGGTTTTCCCTTCTGGAAGCCACACAAAGGGCAGCACAACACAAAGGGATGATGGAGCTGGCTGGCATGACCAGGCGGGAAAACCCAGGGAAGCTACTGGAGGGCTTCACTCTGCAAGGGCAATGCAGGGGGCAGCTGGGCTGAGGCACAGTCACCAAAACTGGATGAAGGAGGGATGGAGCTGTGCCCCATCAACAGCATGTCCCAGCACCAAGCAGCAAGCAGCCAGGGTAGCTCTGTTGTCAGTCCCTACGCCATGGGATGCCCCAGGGAAAGACAGGAGTGTGCTGGCTTTGGCACGCATCTGCTGCAGCCTCATCTGGCAGGACACGTGAAGGCAGGGAGCTGGGTAGGAGGGGTGGGTAAGCAGCGAGAATCAGGCAGCTTTTGAGTTGCCAAGGTAGTTGCAAACCTCTGGAGTCTGCCCCATTTCTAAGAGCTTGTGGCACCATGGGGACACGCCCGGAACTGCAGAAAAGCCAGTGGCATCTCTGCACACAGTGCTGGGGCTCCCACTTCGTGGACAGAGCATGTCCAGTCCCACTCCCTGCCACTGAACCCCTGCCCTGATGGATATCATGGCCCAGGACACAAGCCATCCCCCACCTCTGCTTTCCTCCTCGTCAGCCAGGCAGGGGCCAGCTGCTCTTCCCAAGCCCGACAGTAAGTCTAGCTTAACGAGAAGCTGTCAGACACTGACTGGGGCCTCACGCCACCCATCGAACTCTCACTGTCATAAGGAGATCGTGTCCTGTCCGACAATGGCTCTTCAGGCCACAGAGCTGGTTTCAAGCAGAGGATCCAGTGACTACAAGGCATTAATTGCTGGTGACAACCCGCAGACTGTGTGTTCCAGGGCTGGCTGTCAAGCTGCTGCTCTGCTCACACCAGTGCTGCGGCACTGGGATGGGACAGGGCACTGTGCCACAACGGACCACATTGCCCATGAGGACAGGCCTGAGTTCTGGTTGTTCCCAGGCCATTCCCTGCCTCCCCCATGAGTGATGCTCACCTTGGCCATGGGAAGCAGATGGTTCCAGAATGGGGCCCCCTTGGCATCAGTGCTGCGGCAGGCCGTGGGCACAGGATGGCACAGCAGGACCCTCTTCTTCTTTGCCGGCAGGGACAGGCTCTCGTCCTCAGAGCAGGAGTCAGCCACAACCTTGCCAGCATGCAGCAGCTTCCTTTTAGCTAGGCAGCTGCTGCTGCTGAGCTTTCTGCTCCCACAGGGTGTCTTCTCCAGGGAGCTCAGGTTGCTGGGCTCGGGGCTGAGTGCTGTCTGTGGACTTGGGTGTTCCTTGCACCCTTTGGCCACTGCTGGCCATTCCTCTTCTCCACTAGCCGTGCTGCTGTGAGCTGGGCTGCTCCCTGGCTTTTCTCTCTTCCCACCAGAGTCCAGCTGGGGTGTTTGTGCAATATTGTGCAAATCAAAGTGAAGTAAGTTGCGGCCACTTGCCTGATCCCCATTCTCTCCGTAGTCTGTAGGCTGATCCCCTGATGAGACAGGGCAATCGTCTCTTGTGTGCAAAGTACTGCAAGCAATGCGCTGGGGCCAGGAG